TCACCTCCAGCCTAGAGTTCCTATCTAAGATCTGAAAAAATTTTGATTAAAATTTTTTTTCCTTTATATTTCCATTCCATTTAGGAGTCAAATCCTTATTTAATACCAGATTGTATCTTAGCATTTCTGACATGATGTCTGATATGCCACTGCCAGGTGCTTCTCTACCTAAAATCCTAGCTCTGGGAAAAATAAAAATATCTGCTATAGGCCCTTATTCAAGTGCCTGTAATCACAGAAGGGCTGGGCAAACATGACTGTGAATCTGAGGCTGACCTTTAGGACGGCTTTAGGCTTGGTAAAACTATTACATGACCTCAAAGCTGGCTTTACTTTTAGATTCCAGTAAGCCAGAAAACACTCTGAATTATTTATTTCTCTGTAATGGGTCTTAAAATGTGATGTTAACATCCTGGAAAAAATTACATTTGAATCTGTTTATAATTGAAAGAGAATATGATTGATCATATTTCTTGGAAGTGCCCGTCTCTACAAAGAAAGTAAGAATAGGTTATACAATCATTTATTTTTAAATGTTATCGGTGCTTTATTAAGACTCAAGACATCTGATCCACTAATGTCCTCAGGTTTCTGCGAAGGTGACATCATAATGACCACAGACGGTCCTTTGGGAGACGGATATCATTTACTCAGGAAAAAAAGGCAGTATATTTTTGGTTCAGATTTCTTAGCAACATAAGAAATTAACTTTGTTAAAATCAAAAGTCATTCTCTCAAAAATCTACTGCTTCTTTTTTCTCTTTTCAAGTTCAGCAATTTCCTTTCAAACCCAGCCTTTTTCATGTTTCCTTTTGAAGACTGTTACAACCTATCCTTATGACCTTTTATAAACAATTCTTTTTTTCTCTTACAGGCTCTTTATATTTAAATAGAAATAAATGTATATGGTGGCAGAAATACTACATTGAGTTCATAGAAAATAGGGAGCAGTGAAGCAAGGTAGGTGGTCTTGGTCCTAGGATTACGGAGGATGTGATGTGTCTGTGGTGGAGGACAAGGACATTGTCACCTTTCTTGTCTTCTCAATCACCTTCTCCCTCTGCAGAACACCTGAGTGTCCCTGACAGCTCCCCTAGTGGTACTAAGTAGGAATGCAAGCATTCTTTTTTTTTTTTTTTTTAACATCTTTATTGGGGTATAATTACTTTACAATGGTGTGTTAGTTTCTGCTTTATAACAAAGTGAATCAGTTATACATATACATATGTTCCCATATCTCTTCCCTCTTGCATCTCCCTCCCTCCCACCCTCCCTATCCCACCCCTCCAGGCTGTCACAAAGCACAGAGCCAATATCCCTGTGCCATGCGGCTGCTTCCCACTAGCTATCTACCTTACTACGTTTGTTAGTGTGTATATGTCCATGACTCTCTCTCGCCCCGTCACAGCTCACCCTTCCCCCTCCCCATAACCTCAAGTCCGTTCTCTAGGAGGTCTGCGTCTTTATTCCTGCCTTACCCCTAGGTTCTTCATGACATTTTTTTTTTCTTAAATTCCATATATATGTGTTAGCATACTGTATTTGTCTTTTTCTTTCTGACTTACTTCACTGTGTATGACAGACTCTAGGTCTATCCACCTCATTACAAATAGCTCAATTTCGTTTCTTTTTATGGCTGAGTAATATTCCATTGTATATATGTGCCACATCTTCTTTATCCATTCATCCGATGATGGGCACTTAGGTTGTTTCCATCTCCGGGCTATTGTAAATAGAGCTGCGATGAACATTTTGGTACATGACTCTTTTTGAATTTCGGTTTTCTCAGGGTATATGCCCAGTAGTGGGATTGCTGGGTCATATGGTAGTTCTATTTGTAGTTTTTTAAGGAACCTCCATACTGTTCTCCATAGTGGCTGAACCAATTCACATTCCCACCAGCAGTGCAAGAGGGTTCCCTTTTCTCCACACCCTCTCCAGCATTTATTGTTTCTAGATTTTTTGATGATGGCCATTCTGACTGGTGTGAGATGATATCATAAATCAGGGTCCTTAATGCCATCCTTTGAGATGAAATGGGGGTTAAGTAGTATTCAATAATATTCCTCAAGCTGAGTTCCTGGTCTCTCAGAAGGAATGACTCATAGGTTAAATCTTTAGAAATAGGCTTATGAGTAAAAGCTGGCTGATTTGTTATTCACTAAAAACCATGCCCAAAGTCTTCTCCTCTTCAACACCCGTACCCCTCCCTGATCCTCCTCAGTGCTTGCCCCACTCCTAGCACAAGAAAATAGCTAAATGCACATTTAAGGTTTATCATAGTCTGAGGGGCATTTTTGGTGAAAACCATATATTTGAAGTAATTTAGATACTCATCTTAGACAGTTTGCCAAAGATTTAAAACACTAAACTATTCCTCCTAGGTGCTCCATTCCGTCACTTACTGTTTTTATTAATGAAGTAGACTGAGGTTTGCAAGGCTGGGCTGGTCAGTTTCTCAGAGGCACTCTGCCTGTAATTGCTGTAGTTTTACACCAGGTAGTGGGGCCAGATACAGAACACAGGTTCCTGGGTTTCTTATTCTTAATGTAGAGATTCTGGAACCTTCTCAGTTCCTAATGAACTTAGTGTCTCAATAATTCTTCATGGCATTCCCTAGGCCAAAAGAAGTGCCTAACTATCTGGACCTAGGCTAAATCAAGTACCTAATAGGTCTAAACAACTAATAGTAGTAGTTTGTGTGGTATCTGACAAATGTCACTGTGTTTTCCTTGAAATTTAAAAATATCCTGCTTCACCCCCAGTGAGTTTGCTACGGCGCCTGGGGCAACTTGGCATACAGTTTGGGAATACAGTCTTAATGCTTTAGGGCATTTAGCAATTAACCCAATTCCAGTTCCTATATGGTTTCCTTATGAAAAATAACCAAATAAAAATTGCCACGATTTCACTTCTCTCTAGATAATAAGACAGTGACATGTATCAACATGGATAGATCTCAAAAACATTATGTTAGGTGAAAATAGGCAAGTTGCAGAATAATGTATACAAAATAGTAGTATCTATTTAAAGTTTATATGTTATTTATGAATACAAATGTGTAGTAAAATCAGGACTGGAAGGATGCACAGTCATTTAGGAGACTGGTTATTTCTAAGGAGGAAAGGGAATGGGATTGAAAGAAGAACAAAGAAGACTCAGATTTTATTTGTAATATTTTATATGTGCTATTAAATATATAAGGCAAACATGACTGTGGCGTGAATGTGGCATATAAAGCAAACTATGGATTGAATGCGCTCCCCCAAATTCACATGCTGGAATCCTAATCCACAAGGTGATGGTGTTAGGAGGTGGGGCCTTTGACAGTTAATTAGGTCAAAAGGATGGAGCCCTCATGAATAAAATTAGTGCCTTTATAACAGAGAGACATAAGAGTTTGCTTCCTCTCTCTGCTCTCTGCCATGTGAGGATACAATGAGAAGATAGCCATCTACAAGCCAGGAAGTAGGCTTTCATCAGACACCAGATCTGCTGGTACCTTGATCTTGGACTTCCCAGCCTCCAGAACTATGAGAAATAAATGTTTGTTGTTTAAGCCACCCAGACTATGAAAATTTGTTATAACACCTTGAGCTGATTAAAACAATGACCAAATGTTGATATTTGTTAATTCTGGATAGTGGACCATATAGGTGTTTCTTATATGATTCTCTGTACTTTTCTGTATCAAAACAAAACAAACCAAACACACACACAAATCAGAAAGTACTGAGCAAGAATTAAAAGAGGTAGATCAAGTATTATTTTTCTAGAAAATCTATGATCAACTCTTATCTTTAGCTATTTAATTTAGTTTTGGATCATAAAATAATTCTGAATCTTTTCTGAGGGTCAAAATAACCATGTGATACTTATTGACTCTATTGTATTAAAAAAAAAAACCCAGCAGCTGTGCTTTATAAATCAGCTGTTTGCTACTCCTAATAAGTTGTAGCTTTTGCTACTAATTAGTTCCAACAGACAGGCAGATTTCCATTCAAATTTAACACATTATTGGGTTTAAAAAGAGACCATATCTTGTTAATTTTTTTAAAATTTCAGTATCTTAGGACTTCCCTGATGGTGCAGTGGTTAAGAATACGCCTGCCAATGCAGCAGACACAGGTTTGAGCCCTGGTCTGGGAAGATCCCACATGCTGCAGAGCAACTAAGCCCGTGCGCCACAACTACTGAGCCCAAGTGCCACAACTACTGAAGCCCGAGCGCCTAGAGCCCATGCTCCGCAACAAGAGAAGCCACCACAATGAGAAGCCTGTGCACCGCAAGGAAGAGTAGCCCCTGCTAGCTGCAACTAGAGAAAGCCTGCGTGCAGCAACGAAGACCCAACACAGCCAAAAATAAATAAATAAAATTTAAAAATTTCAGTACTATATATAATAGAGGTTCAATAAATGTCTTTGGAATCAGTAAAACTAACCTATCCTTTTCTCAGCATTAAAAAAAAATTTTTTTAACAACGAGGAAAAAAACATTTAGGCAACATTATGTAGGAGTTTTATAATATGGCTTGTAATTTTTATTATTTTTAAACATTATATTAACTGTTACTATAACATATTCATATGGTTCAAAATTAAAAGGTTTAAACTGATGTACAATGAAAGCTAAGGCTCCATTCAACACTTGATCCCCAGCCACTCAATTCTCTCCTAAACAGGCAACCAGAATGACCAGATTTTTGTATATGTCTAGAAAAGAGGTATTTTATACATACACAAGCAAACACATAATAACATATCCATACTCATGGCTCTATGTACCATCTAGAGCTGACATTGATTAAACAGTCATTTGGATGTCTAACAGATGTTTCAAATTCAACATGTTCAAACCGAATTCCTGCTCTTTTCCCCCCAGAAAGCTTCCCCTGCAGCTTTCCCATCCAGTCCATCACGACCCCAGCCTTCGGGCTGCTCAGTCGTCCCTAATCCCTCTCTTTTACAGCCACATCCAGTCTGTCAGGAAAGCCTACTCACTGCTTTGAAAATGTTTCCAGAATCTGGCCTCTTGCCACCACCTCCTCTGCTGTCTCCCAGGTGGCAGCTAACGGCCCCTCTCGGCGGGATCACTGCCCTCCAGGGCTCCCGATGCTCTTGCTGCCTCCATCCGGCTCTCCCACGGCCTAGTCTCTACAGAGCACAAGAGGAATCCGTTTACACTGTAAGCCATAAAATGCCACACTGTACCTCCAAATCCTGCATGGTTCCCTGTTCATGCAGAATAAAAGGCAACCTCCTTACAAGGCCCTGCGTGGACCAGCCTCCCGTCATCTTCTGAACCTTTTCCTCCTCTTTTTTCCAGCTCACTCTGCCCAGTCTCTCTGCTGCTCCCAGCGCACAGCAGACACAGTCCTGACTTAGGGCCTTTTCCTCACTCTTCTCATAGATCCTCTCCACAGACCCCCTCACCTCCTTCAAGTCTCTTCAAATTTTGCCTTCTAAGGCCCAACTTGACCACGCTGTTTGTAACAATGCACGTTATCTTCTTCCCCTCCCCCAGCCCCCATCCCGATCTCCCACGCTCTGCTCTATTCTTACCCATAGAACTTACCAGTTTCGGATATACTATATTATGTTCACATTTGTCGATTACTGATGGTCCCCTTTAACAGACTGTAAGCTCCACTACGGTTGAGATCTTTGTCTGTTTTGCTATGGACACATCCCAAGTGTGGAGTGTGATGCCTGACACATAGCAGATGCTCAAAGATATTTGTTCAACAGGTGAATGTATACATAGATGTATACTATGCATATCATTAGAACCTTGACTTTTCACTTAATGACATATTCATTCATTCGACAAATGTATCTTGGAAGTCTAGGAAGATTTTATCAGCACATACACTTTTTTCTCCTTTTTTATGGAAGCTTATTATTTCATTGGAATTGCAGCACTGGAAAGATGTACCATAATTTACATAACCAGTTCTATTGTTTCTAGTCTTTTGTTTTTACAGATAATACTGTAATAACAATCTGGTCCATATATTATTTTACATGTATAAGAGTATCTGTAGGATAAATTCCTGGAAGTGGAATTGCTGGGTCAAAGGGTATATGCTTTTTAATTATAATAGGTATTGCCAAATTGAATTCCATAGAACTTGTACTAATTTATGTTCCCTCCAGCCATGTATGAGAGTGTTTGTTTTCTCACACTTTTACCAGCAAAGTTTTATAATTTCTTATCTTTGCTAGTCTGATAGGTAGAAAATGAATTTTTAATGAAGTTTTAATTTGCATTCCTCTTATTTTGAGTGATTGGAACATTTCTTCATAGGTTTAAATGATGTTTGATTCTTTTTCTAGTTTCTAGTTATATTTTTCATCTATTTTTCTATTGGATTGTTGACCCATTCCTTATTGATTCCTAGAAGTTATCTATATAGTAGAGAAATTAGCCCTTTGCCTAAATAGGAAATGGAAATATTTTTCTCTTGTTTGTGGTTTGTCTTTTGACATTGCTTATGATTTTTGGCCTAGCAGATTTTTTAAAAGTTTTTAACGAAGTTGAATTTATCATTTTTATTAATACTTCTTTCTTCTGGGCTTTATGACAAACATAAAAGGCTATCCTCAATCTGATTTATTTAAACATTCTCAAATGACTTCTAATATTTTTGCAGTTTTGCTTTTACTTTTAAACCTTTGGTCCACCTAGAATATATTTTGACGAATTGTAAGATAGGATTCAATCATCTCTGCCCTCAATGACTATCTAGTTACCTCCAAACCATTATTTAAATAAGGCATCTTTTCTTTACTATTTCAAGATGCCATTTTTGTCTTATGTTAAATTAATAAGTGACATTAAAGAGATTTGAAATTGAATGTTCCATATTTTGGAACAGCACCCCTAAGTCTTCCCTATACCTTTACATTTTATTCTTAATTTGTATTCTGTGCCATTGATTCTTGTGTCTGTTCATGCCCCAGGACTACTTTTTCAGTTTCTAATGGCATAGAGTGAAAAGGCTAGTGCCCCATCATTGCATTTATTGTCAGAATATCCCTAAAAATTCTTGCTGCTTATTTTTACACCTGAAATTTATTTTTTTTAATATCTTTATTGGAGTATAATTGCTTTACAATGTTGTGTTAGTTTCTGCTGTACAACAAAGTGAATCAGCTATGTGTATACATATATCCCTCCACCTGAAATTTAGAATCAGCTTGTCTACTACCTCTCAAACAATGTCAAGACCAAGGTCAAAAACAACAGTAACAACAGCAACCCTGAAGTTCTGATTAAATTCACACTCTCCAATTCCAATCCTAGCTATTACCGTTACTGTACTGAAATCATTGAAAAAGTCTTTTCCTGTTTTGTCTCTGAGCTAATTCTTGCTGGACTTCTGGTTGCAGGAGCACGCATAGTTTCATCTTTATGGCTGCCCTGGGCTGTTGTCCTAGGCTCTGAGCCCCACGACCCTTATATCCCTTTATTTGTTTTTTTCATGCTATAGCATAATTTAAAGCAGTTTGTTCAAAATCATAATTATAAGGGACTTACCTTAATACGCCTTTTATTAACTTCTTTTACATAGAAGTTTTATAATCCTGAAACTATCTTGCAGTCATTCCAATTCAAGTCTGTATGTTGTGATTCTGACCTTTAAACTTGTAAGCATACCTTCCACTTGAGTTCTTAAAGATTCAGACACACGGCTGGTTTCTATGCACCCACTCAGGTGAAGTACATATTCTATCTTGCAGCTTTCTGTTCCTTAGCAAAGTGCTTAACATCTGTAGTCAATAAACATACTCCACAGGGTGCAAGAGAAAAAAGGAACTGAATAAAACAACTTTAAAATAAATGTCAGCAGGCCTCTCATAAGATTAAATTTTTAAAGCTAAAATAAAGTTCTACTCACCACTGACTAAATAGACTTTAAAATCTACAAGCAGCAGACCACAATTCACATCCACATGTATATATATATATATCCATAAAATACTGAAGAAATAAAAATTAATAAAATTGGTACATTCTAAAAATTAGAATCAGTGGCTATAGGATCTGCATGAAAAATGCAGAGCCATATATGACTTGTGATCTCATTTCTGTAGGGATGAAAAATAAAAATAACTAACAGTTACCAAATACTACTTGTTTGTCAAGAAGTCTTTTCAGGCAATCAGTCTCATGTTGATGACTGAAAGAGGCAAAGAAAAGGCCTGGAGAGGAGACCCAAGGAGCGACTTGGTCACACCCTTCTAGAGGATCATTCTCCCTGAGCAGCTTGCCTAAATTCCTCAGCAATAGAAAGGTGGGGTTTATTCCCTCAATGCGCCCATTACTTGGGGGATGCTCCCTGGCCAAAGTCCACTGAGTGTATCTGTGAGACCAGAGAGTATGAAGCCAGACCATGACTCTGGACTCCCTGGAATGGGTGACAGCAGTTGTAGCATTGTCTTTTGTGTCTTCCTGAGGCCTCTGACAAAGAGGCTGGAATTTCCTTGTATTCCAGAAAACTCAGAGATGGTATTTTGTCAAGTAGGAAGCTGTTGGCCTGAACTGACAGGGGAAACAACCATCTACTAACAACCTCTAGAAGAACAAAACCATATGAGAACTAGGAAAATGTATCTTCGAAATTGTAGAATCCACTTTGCTGAAAACAGAATTGAAATGAAGCTGCTCCTTCACAAATGTGGACAGGACTGAGCACAAAGCAAGAATACCAGCAGGCTACTGATGGCAGATATTACTGCCTTGGCAGTACAACATGACATGAGTTAGAAAATGATCTGTGAGCCCATTATTGCTACTGCTCCAGCCCTCGACAGTGTTATAATGCATGTACTCACTATCCTTCTACCCACTTAGCTGACTTCTCTAAGAGTAAGGACCACCACCTATCTCATGTACCAAGAACCTGAGCATCTAACACAGCACCTGGTATACAGTAGGTTGCTTCCTACTGCATGCTGAATAAACAAAATCAGTAATTCATATCCCATACATCTCTATGATTTCTAGAGATGTAGATTCTTTAGAACAGATTGTAGAGCTTCTAGAGATATGTAGATTTCTAGCTGAAATGCATAACTCTATGGATACATTCTATTATGTAATTAACTCATAATCCTTCAAATGGACCAATAATAGAAATAGTTTTCCTTGGGAATACTGAGTGGGGGGAGAGGGGATGGGAAATACTTATGCACAGAGTGATATGTCAAGAATACTACCTGGTCCTGGAGTTTGTTATGGGTCCTCAGCAGAGAGAGTGCAGTGGATCTTAAAGTCCAGTGGTAGGAAATAGACAGCCAAAGCAGATGGAAAGAGTGCTATGAGAAATAGGAAATATCACATATGGTTAAAAGTAAGGAAAGGCAGATCGCTAAACTTGAATCCTTGCTAATTTTAAGACCTAACATGCAGTTGCTATGTAGAAAAGGATAATTTGAACCTCATTCAATTCAATATTAAAGTGTTTCTATTTAGAACTAACTAGAGTAAAACCATTTGTTTTCAATCCTGCTAGTTGGAATCAGATGGTAATGCGTTGAATGCGTCTGCACTTTTCAAATGGAGTGAGGATGCAGAATACCCAACCTCGATGTGCTTGAATTTTTTTTTTTTTTTAATGTTAAACCCCACTTTACTAGAGTTAGTTTCTGGACACATTAACTCATTTTTTTTAGAGAAGAGAGACAATGAATCTCAGCTTGCTTACAAGCTAGGAGATCACTTTGAATTCTGCATTTCTTAACTGCAAACAGATATAGCACTTGTAACAGGTTATAAATAAACTGGTTTTCAAGCACAGAGCCAGCCCCAACAGTAATAGTACACTATTTAAAAAGACCTAAGGCAATGAATTCCATTTCCAGTGGAAAAAAGGAATCATATGGTCTTGGACAAACAATTCTGATGGTTTACTTAACAGTCACTTAGTAGTTCTTCCTTGTTCGTAGAACTTTATGATTTTTTTGAGGAGTGAAGCATTCAGCTTTAGTGGATAAATCCTTGTTAGGCTAAGACGGTCATTATCATATCCCTCTTTGCCATGAATTGTCTTATGAATGGTCATATCAATCTGTTTTGGCCAATGAGTAATTAGGGGAAGGCTGTTATTGTGCTTATGAGAATGATATTTTTCTCTGAAAAAAGATAAATATGCATTAGGAAAATGACCATTTGGGCTCTTTTTCTGCTTCCTCTTTGTTTTGTGAGAATATGATACTTGGTTGCTGTGAGGCAGGAGCTGAATGAACGCAGGTGAAGCACTCTCGCATGGCCTGGCTTCCAATAACTGGACAGCAAAAGGCAACGGTTTCTTCTTTCTTCTTCTGAGTGATCTCAGCCAAGCAGAAAGGAGAGCTTATTAGAGGCAGCAGAATGTCAAAACCCTCTGTTCTGTAAACAAACGTGTTTTGTCAAATAGTGTCTACATGATGTCAGTGAAAAAAAGGCCCCCAAAGCTAGAACATGCAGGCTATAAATAGGTCAAATGGAATCAAGGTTAGAGACAGTACCAGAGTGCCTTCTTTGTCACATAAAGGTCCAGTGATTACTAAATAGCCCGACCCCTGTGCTTTGTGACTGCTCTGGGGGTGAGGTAGCTTCTCCATCTCTCCTAGGGATGCTAGGCACCCGTTTCCCAGCCCACAGGTCTCCTGTCTCTAAAAACAAGGTTCTTTTCTTGGTGGAATGACTTCTATAAAATTTAACTACAGTAATTTCTTAGGGTCCTCAAATTAAGTTCCCAGATGGCCTCCAGGAATTAACATAGCTTCCTAAATATCAGAAACCATGGGAGCTGCATAGACTCCTACTGTACAGGAAGCCTCTAAGACAACTAAGAAAAATGCACTTTAAGCTCTTTGTTTGTGTGTTTTTGGCCGCGCCTCGCAGCTTACGGGATCTTAGTTCCCTGACCAGGGATCGAACCCAGGCCCCAGCAGTGAAAGCGCCGAGTTCTAACCACTGGACCGCCAGGGAATTCCCTAAGCTCTTTTAAAAGTAACTTTCCAAAATGGTTACAATTTTAATAACTTACATGGGGCTTAGTATCTAAGATCTAGAGTGGCTTTTCTAGGTATTGTACTCAGTAATTGGTACCAGGAGAGTTACTAAGTGTTCTCAAGACAAGTTGTACTAAAAACTGGTTCACTCAGGGAATCTTTCTTTTTGAAAATAGCCTGACTTAGTCTCAATCAGATTTTGTTAGAAAATGTAAGTGTCCCACTGAGATTTCAAAGACATACCTCACTTTCAATTTTTCACTTGACATTGCAATTCTCACCTTTTAGCTTCTGTCTCCAGAACCCGCCAGGGACTCTGCCCTTCTTGACACCTGCGTGGTGAGAGGGAGCTCTGGGTTATGCCCCTCCATAAATTCTTCCCTGGGCTCCGCATCAGGAGGGTTCCTCAAGCACATTCAGGGAAGGCTGATCAATTCTTGGCTCCCAGCCCATGCCCACTGGAAGAGCAAGGGTACTGCACAGTAATTCAGACTTGCCCGCTACAATTCCAATGTGTTTTGAAAGCAGTGCACCCCTGACGCCTACTGTTTACACAGGCACTAAATTAGGCTCTGTGCTGTAACTGTGGAAAACACATGGCTCTGCAGTCAAACAATTTGTCATTTTTCAACAAGCGACTTTCCTTCTCTGAGTCTCAGTTTCCTAATTTTCAAAATGGGGGTAATGGGAGGCATCTTACAGGGTTGCTGTGAGATTTCAGTAAGACAAGGTTTAGTAAGGAATTTAGTACCATAGCTGATCCATAGCAGATGCTCAGTCAGTGGTTGTTGCTGTATTTTCCATTGTTTCTTTTTTTTATCCACAAGGATCATCCTTATCAGTGTCATGGAAACAAGAGACTGCTGAGGGCTTCCCTGGTGGCGCAGTGGTTAAGAATCCGCCTGCCAATGCAGGGGACACTGGTTCGAGCCCTGGTCCGGGAAGACCCCACATGCCACGGAGCAACTAAGCCCATGCGCCACAACTACTGAGCCTGAGTTCTAGGGCCCGCGAGCCACAACTACTGAGCCTCTGCGCCTAGAGCTTGCGCTCCGCAACAAGTGAAACCACTGCAATGAGAAGCCCGCGCATCGCAACGAAGAGTAGCCCCCACTCACCGCAACTAGAGAAAGCCTGCGCGCAGCAACGAAGACCCAATGCAGCCAAAAATAAATAAATAAATAAATTTATTTTAAAAACAAAAAATAAGAGAGACTGCTGAGAGGTTCTGTAGATGGGATTGTGGAAATACGAGAGAGGTCTCATTTTTAGTTTACTATCAGCTTTTTCTGCCCTTCAGAGCAGATTAGCCATTCACTTTGAACTTTAATTCTCAGGGGTATATCATCTTGGAGACATTCAAGCTAGAAAGAACTGTGCCTTGAAGTGATCAAGGTGAAGGATTTGGGTAAGAGTAAAGATACCGTTTCTTCAAATTGGCCTTGGGGCAGGCAGAGCAGAATAAGAACAGAGGACAGAAGAGGTCCCCTCCCCTCCGTGGTTCGTGCTGACTCCAGGCTCTAAGGCGAAAAGCAAGTGGGGTTCTGGGATCAGGTCAATCTGACCTGACAGAACCCCCTGTGATCACCCCTACAACAGGAGGGCTGAATAGCACTGTGGGGAAGCGGAGGGAGGAGTCCTCTGGTGGGCAGGTCAAGCTGGGATCAGGACAGTAACAAGATCTCTAACTCTGCCCTTATTGGAAGCATCCACATTACTTTAAAAACCCTAAGGGAGCTAACGGTTGGGATTGGGGTGGGAGCTGAGGGTGAAGTATCAATATAAACAAGGAAAATACTAAAAACACGGATAATTTATTCCAATCTGGTTGAAGCCTGAGAAACTAGATTCCTTTTTCCAAACCAAAAGTAAGTCGCCTGCTTTCTTTTTATGTTACGCACTGTATCACTGATACCAAAAGACACACCTTCACTGTGGCCATGAAGTGAATGTCTTCAGAAGATGCTTTCCTTCTGCTTTCCTTCCTTGTGCTCAGCTGCGAATCTGGTGAATGACTCCAATAACTCAGACACACAATCCTAGGTACAACTTCCTTTCACTTCTAGAAGGGACAAAAACGATGCCTGACACAGAGGACAGACCACGTCCTTCCAGTCCTCATTAGAGAAGCCACGAAGACACACACCTGCAGAGTCAACCAACCAGGCACCAAGGCCTTTACATCTGAACAAAAATAATGACGGAAGGCGTGGGCTGAAGACTGACTCTGTGGATTTGAAAATGGCTCTGACCCTTCCTCGCTGTATGACATTGAGAAAGTGACTTGACCTGTCTGTGCCTGTGTTAATGGTTCCTACCTTTCACAGCCTGCTGCGAACATGAATGAGTCCACTTGTGCACGCATGGCTGGCACATGCTAGCACTCCCCAGTGCCAGCTGCTGTTCTTATCTATTCAAGTCTGCAAAACCCAGGTCTCTCTCATGTAACCATCTGCCTGTGCCTTGTGATATTTTGAATTCCCTCTCTGTCACTAGCTGTGTGCCCTGGAGAAAGTTACTTAATCTCCCTGAGTCTTGGTTTCCCTCCCTATAAATTGGGGGCAGTTATAATTACTTTCAAAAGTCATTGTGAGGATTAAATATTAAGGTTTTTAAAGTGCTTCCCATGTAGAGAAAAGGAAACCCTCCTACACTGTTGGGAATGTAAATTGATGCAGCCACTATGGAAACAGTATGGAGGTTCCTTAAAAAACTAAAAATACAATCACCATATGATCCAGCAATTCCACTCCTGGGCATATAACTGGAAAAGATGAAAAGCCTAATTTGAAAAGATACATGCATCCCAATGTTCACTGCAGCACTATTTACAATAGCCAAGACATGGAAACAACCCAAGTGCCCATCAACAGACAATTGGTTTAAGAAGATGTGGTATATACACAATGGTATATTACTCAGCCATAAAAAGAATGAAATATTGCCATTTGCAGCAACATGGATGGACCTACAGAATATCACACTGAGTGAAGTAAGTCAGACAAAGACAAATATTATATGATATCACTTATATGTGGAATCTAAAAAATAATACAAATGAAGCTATATACAAAACAGAAACAGACTCACATAGAAAACAAACTTATGGTTACCAAAGGGGAAAGAGGTGGGGGGAGGGATAAATTAGGAGTATGGGATTAACATATACACACTACTGTATATAAAATAAACAATAAGGAATTACCATATAGCTCAGGGAACTGTATTCAATATCTTGTAAAAACCTATAATGGAAAATAATCTGAAAAAATATATATATATAACTGAATCACTTTGCTGTATACCTGAAACTAACACAATATTGTAAATCAACTATACTTCAACTTAAAAAAAGTACTTCACGCATGTAAATACGTACATGGTAGTTTTCATGTTATCATTTGTCAAAATGGGCTAACCACCACCCCTGTCCTGCCTATCCCATTGACTGCTATGAGAAGAACGTGCTGGAAAAGGCAGTGTAAAGTACTGTATAAATGTTCTGACTTCCAGCCCCTAGGCAATCGATTAGTATGGACCGCAGTAGTCCTGCAGAATCAGGAAGCGAAGCACTAGGAGAGTGTAGTCCATTATGCAGTTGTAAACACATCACTACTTTTATCATTAGGAAATCCCAGACCAGTCAATGTAAACAAACCCACCTAAGGCCTGCTTGACGATAGCACTTTTTAATTTACTGAAAACGGCTTTCCAGGTACTTAATTTTAAAGCCACCAATATAAGTTGGTGATTAATAATTTAAGGATGCTACATTAAAGTGGATAGATTTTTTTGGAGCAGTCTTTATGGCTTGGGTTTTCTTCCAGTTTAATTCAGTAGATGTTGACATTTGTTGGTCCTGAGCATTGCGGTACAGAATGCTTTTCTGCATTTTGACCTAAAGGAGATGAGTTCCAAGCACTCCTGGGCTTGGGTATAAACATAAGGGGACTCCCCATCCCTGAGGCAAGGAATCTGACTTCTAAAGACATATTTTTCTTCCACAAATGGCAAATATAAGAGAGTCCTTTCTGAATTATTTTATATAGGCTTCCCAGAATTTAAGTTTTATCCTATTGAATCTGAGAAACACTGCTTTTTTTTCCTACAAAGCTATTGCAGTTCACAAAATAATAATCTTTAGACTAGATTACTAGACATACTGGATTACTAGACACACCTCTCCACAACGGAAACCATCTAAGAACATGTCCCTTTACTGTTTTTTAACTGCAACAAATACTAAAATAGTTAAATGTCTGATGTAAACGTGAGTAAAGCCAGATACAGAAGTATGTTTAGACTTCTTCCAAGAAATCTTTTTCCCTCCTAGTCAGTTTTGACCCCTCTCACTGTTATCTCTCCTCCATCAGACTTGGAACCTCATCGTAGCCTGGAATGTGCTTTTGCATATTTTGGTTTTCCATCAAAATGCTCACAGCTCACTAGTCCGCTGCACATAACCGGGGATCAATAAATGGCTTTTGAGTGGATTTATTTAGTCTTTAGAACAATGTCTTTTGTAGTGCCATTTCAGATGAAGACTTCTAATCAAGAGTTGCTTGGCTCTCCAGAGTAATAAGACGGGAAGGCATTTTCTTTCTTTCTGGCAGAATAAAATCTGCATGTCCCGGTGAGAGCTGCGGAAACGTATAATTGATGTATTTTTGAAACGCTACCCTGGTTTCCTGTAACTCCTCCTCCAGGAAATCTTTCCAATTTGTCATGATTTCCAGTTGCTTCGCCATAGACAGCAGCTCCCGCTGAGTGTTAAGCAGTTTGTCCATCACATTTCTAAGCGTGGCCTGATGTGTTTTCTCCGCTTCTTGAAGCACTTTCTGAACCTCTTCTTGCTTCTGTTTCTGAGCCATGAAATAGTAGACGCTCATTTTATGTTCTTTTTCCTTTATCAGTTGGCTCACATTGTTCTCTTGATCCTTCATAACTGTGACACCAGCTCTCAAAAGTTCCTCCATGGCCTTTCTACAGAAAGGAACAAGGGTTGAATATTAATAGTTAGATGGATTAGCCACAAAAAAAAAAAGATTTTGTCTTTCACCGCAGATGTAGGAGAAATGCTTTCATGGTTTACATGAGTCACCAGTCTGAGACAGGCTGGTAGAGATGAGCTTTGATTAGATGTTAACAATAAAAAAATATTTTTCAGAGCAGGGAAGGTGCACATTGATTTCCCCACTGTGGGCTAGGGCGAGGCCACTAGTCTAGCGTCTAACGCTAACTTTAGGGACTCGAGTCCACTGTAGTCAGAAAAATATGAATGCAGAGATCTAAAAACAAATGAAGAAATAGCCTCAGATTTCCAAACCCCTAGAGAAAGTATTTCTATATATCAACCCAGCTACTCACCTTTAGCCAGAGGGGAGGATACTGTCTCACAGGGTGAGTTTAGCCCTATTCTTGATTCTATCTGAGCAATACTCTAAGACAGAAGTCTCAAACTTTTTGGTCTCAAGATCACTTTTCAGTCTTAAAATGACCAAGAAACTCAAAGAACTTTTGTTCATATGGGTTATATCTAGTGACCCTAACAGTTTTAAAAGTTAAATGTCAGACATTTAACAAACATTTATAAATTCATGTGAAGTATCGATAAATCCATTAAACATTAACATAAAACACTTACCTCGTAGGAAAAATATTTTTTCTAAATCAAAAAACTTTTGGTGAGGGCTTCCCTGGTGGCACAGTGGTTGGGAATCTGCCTGCTAATGCCGGAGACATGGGTTCGAGCCCTGGTCTGGGAAGATCCCACATGCCGCGGAGCAACTAAGCCCGTGAGCCACAACTACTGAGCCTGCGCGTCTGGAGCCTGTGCTCCGCAACAAGAGAGGCCACGACAGTGAGAGGCCCGTGCACCGCAATGAAGAGTGGCCCCCGCTCGCCAC